AAAGTGTAATACAACTTGTGTTCAAAAATTCCTTTACCCGAGTCATCCTTGATCTCGATCTCTGCAAGTCATAACTGATTCACCAGTATACCCCAAACCGAAACTAATACAACCCATAACCGTGCAATAAACTCGTCGATAGTAGACTCCCCTACTTAGCCATAAGCTGCAATTATATAAAATTAGAACCCGTAAGGATTTTTCCTTCTCAACTACCAAGGTCTTGCACCGTTAACCTGCCAGACTTCTCGAAGTCTTTTATTAAGCATTTCATAAATATTCTGAATCTCCAGCCAAAATCATACACGCGACCTCCTACCGGGTAACAAGTAATATTCCTCGCAAAAGCTTCATCAATATCACGCCACCGCTAGCTGCACACAGGAGATAACCCACATGTGAAATTCCTTACTGACATCTTCCAATGACACTGTACTGAGTGCAACGACCACTAAATCCGTAAGTTCTCCTGAGTTCATGCTCGCCCACCATCTGTATAAGTCTGCACTTTCTCTATTGACATCAACTGTACGTCAACAATACCTTCCGAACTCAAGTCATATTGCACCTGACATGATAATCAGATCTTCACGCCTCTATTCATTTCAAACACACTCCTTTCTGCCATATTCAATTTTCCTTTGTACACTAACCATCACTCCAAATAGAGTCTGCAGGCCGATTCACATACTAACACGATTCCAAACCATTCTACACTTTCTCAAGGCGCACGACTACCCTACTAGTGAATTCATATGCTAATCTACCACTCTTACTTCGGTTAAATCATCTCCTTTAAGAAACTTCTCAACCTCTACTTCTCCTACTTGACCTGCTAGTACTTCAACCACCGCGAAACACTTCCCGTCATATCTTCCCTCATACTTTTCTACCCAACTGCTGCATTAAATCGAAATGTATCTCTGTCGCACCTGAACCAATAAAATGTTACCGACTCTAAGTCTCTTCGAAGATTATCTTTCTCGAGCCATCAACATCAAAAATACCCATTCGCAACCACAATTACTATACAATCACTTACTCTTCTTGAGTCCAAACTCATTAACAAGACATGGGAATTTAATTTACCCCAAAATTTAACAACGTGAAAGATCCTTCAAAATATTCACACTCGAGACCGTACGTCATATTAAAACAAAAATCAAGCGCCCAATGACCTTCCTTTACATTTCAATGAAACACTTCTTGTCACATTCAAATCGTCTTAACACATCCCACAATTACATCATACTCATCACAAAGCCATTCCATCGCTCATCGAGCTACGAATTCCACTCGTAGAGTCATTACCAGACATATGAGTCCAAATGTATAGGTTACAACTGAAGCTACCGAGCCAAAACTACGGTTTAAACATGGCCTAAAGTCCTCCAGACTAGCCCATCACCAAAACACATAATACACATCTCGAACCTCGTTCATAGAATCACAAGCCATCGATGCACAACTGATACGGAGTGCTCATGTGCGCATACGAATGCGTGAAAGGAATTCAAGGAGTTATATTCCAAGCTGAATCAATTCTGCACGATAGAATAAAAGAAAGTGAAATTTTGTTTTTCCTAAGGGTTCTGCAGCCTCTCGAAGATAAGTACAGACGTCTTCGTACCGATCTGCAAGACTCTACTAAACTCGCTCATGACTCGTGAGAACTATGTAACCTAGGCTTTGATACCAATCTGTCACGACCCAAAACCTAACCTGTCGTGATGGCGCCTATCGTGGAACTAGGCACGCTGACTCATTTCAAAACAAACCGATATTTTTATTTCAAGGATAATTCCAAGGCTATTTAGCTTAAAAACCTTTGTAAAGGAGTTCAAATCAAAACAAAAATGTGGAAAAGAGAAGCCTGACATCGGGGTGTCACTAGTCATGAGCATTTACTACAATATGTCTAACAATATTAAGGCTAATTCAGCGTGGGAAATAGCTAAATAAAACTGAAGGAAGATAAGAGGGAGAAGGGCAGGGGCTGCGATCGCCAGGCAGCTGCCTTGCTATCCCCGAGAAAATCTGCAACCAGAATAATCAACAACCACTACTGTGTCCAGCTACACCTGGATCTGCACACAAGGAGCATGAAGTAACGTGAGTACGCCAACTCAGTAAGTAACAACAATAAATAAAGACTGAGCAGTAGTGACGAGCAATAAAGCATATCAAGTTCATATCACAAAAATTCAGTAAAGTACAACATGCTTTAAAAATCAGTGTTTGAATCAAATCATCTCGTTTAAACCCGGTTCCAGTAAAAATCATTTAAAGATATTTTTCAATAGTTTTTCAAATAAAGGCTCAATACAAAGGTGAGCAAAAATGATGAAATCATAAACAGCCCCTCGGGCAAAACTCACAGTCACTCGTGCCACTCGGGCATACCTCACAATCACTCTTGCCACTCGGGCATACCTCACAATCACTCATGCCTCCCAATCACTCAGCACTCGGCACTCGCACTCAGTAGGTACATGCGCTCACTGGGGGTGTGTACAGACTTTAGAGGGGTTCCTTCAGCCAAAGATATATATCAAGCCAAATCATGGCATAAATCACTCAGGCCCTCGGCCTATATCAAACATGTTGCGGCGTGCATCCCGATCCCATAAATATGCACCATGTTATGGCGTGTAGCCCGATCCCATAAATATCCTCACAAATCAGGCCCTCGGCCTCACTCAGTCATAAACCTCTCAAACCACTCGGGCATTTCAGTAAAAACAGGATGCTCAGCCCAAAACAACATTTATATACATCAAAATTGAGTAATAAAACTGAGTTATGCAGTAAATAGGTATAACCATGACTGAGTATAGATTTTCAATCAAAAACAGTGAGAGGATAGTAAGAAAAGGCCCCTAAGGGTCCAAACAACACTGGCACAAGGCCCAAACATGGCATTCAACCCAATTTACAGAAACTCTTTCTAAAACATATAAGTATCATATAGTTTCAACAAAGTATGCAACTTTACAGTTGCTACAGGACGGACCAAGTCAAAATTCCCAACAGTGCACGCCCACACGCACGTCACCTAGCATGTGCGTCACTAAAAATAGTAGAATGATCCAAAATCCGGGATTTCGTACCCTCAAGACTAGATTTACAATCGTTACTTACCTCAAACCGGGCAAATCTCTACCCCGTAATGCTCTCGTCTCTGGACTCGACCTCCAAATGCTCCAAATCTATTTACAATTAGTACAATACCATCAATATACGCTAATGGAATGAATTCCACAAGAAAAATTATCAAATTAGACCAAAATTCGAAATTGGCTCCAACCCGGCCCCCGGGCCCACGTCTCGAAATTCGATAAAATTTACAAAACTAGAAAGCTCATTCACTCACGAGTATAACCATACCAAATTCATCAAAATCCGACATCGTTTGGTCCTTCAAATCCTTAAATTAAACTCTTAAAAATTTCAAGCCCTAACCCCTCATTTTCACTAATTACAATGATTAAACAACGAAAAATCACCATGTATATAGGTATTAGGGCTCAAGCAACTTACCTTACAGATAGCCCTTGAATCACCTTTCGAAAATAACTCCAAAGGCTCCAAAAACCGACTTGAAAATTGTGAAAATGAACCAAAATTCGCGAAGTGCTATCTATACATTCTGCCCAGATTTTCGCACATGTGGGATATTTCACGCGCCTGCGGGACCGCACATGCGGTCAAAAATCCTCGCACCTGCGAGAATCACTTAAACTCTCAGCCTCCGCACCTGCGCCCAGGTCTCGCACCTGCGGGCTCGCAGGTGCGTCCAAATCCTTCGCGCCTGCGCTCCATCCTTGGCCTCCCATTTTCCGCATCTGCGCTTCAAATTCTCGCGCATGCGGTAGCGCACCTGCGCATTTCCTTCCGCTTCTGCGAAGCCTGCCCAACGCCCTCTTTTCCGCATCTGCGGACTCCCCTTGCGCACCAGCGACCTCGCACCTGCGACTCCTCCTTCCGCAGGTGCGGAAATAGCAGTAGCAGCAGCTTCAGCTGCATTTTCCAACTTCGACAAATTTGTTAACCACCCGGAATCACCCCGAGGCCCTCGGGACCTCAACCAAAAATATCAACAAGTCATATATCAACATACAAACTTAGTCGAACCTTCGAATCACTCAAAACAACATCAAATAACCAAATTACCCTCGAATTCAAGCCTAAGAACTTCTAAATTTCCAAATTCGGCAACCGATGCCGAAACCAACAAAAACCACGACCGAATGACCTCAAATTTTGCACACACGTCACAAATGACGCTACGAACCCATTCCAACTTCCGAAATTCCATTCCGACCCTGATATCAAATTTCTCACTGCCGATTTCGCCAATTCAAGCCTAATTCTACCACGGATCTCCAAATCACATTCCGGACGCACTACTAAGTCCAAAATCACCTATCAGAGCTAACGGAACCATCATAATTCAAATTCGAGATCGTTTACACATAGGTCAACATCCGATTTACTTTTCCAACTTAAGGTTCTAAATAAGAGACTAAGTGTCTCATTCCACTTCGAAACTACTCGGGGCCCGAACCAACTAACCTAGTATATCATAATATAGTTTAAGAGCATAAAGGAAACAGAAATGGAGAAAACTGGGCTATAAATCCCGAAACGACCGTCCGGGTCGTTACACATACTTTATGTCCATCTCTTACACTATTTTACTATAGTAGTCTTCACTTTTTTGCCTATAAAAGACTATGTAAATGGCAGTGGAAAGACGCACACAAAAAAAAGTGAAAAACTCCTTCTTTCTATCTGCGTTTCTTATTTATATTTTAGGACTAAACATTAGGCGCAGATGGGAGAAAGTAAGCAACACGAGCTTCCTTAAAAGTAAATAGATCTTTGAGTCAACAACTACGCTTCTGATGCCGAAGCAGAACATCAGAACTTGTCTCTCCAGACTGATTAGGAAGTGCTTCCATGTCATGTTGCGCTGAAGACGACTGCTGTGTTCCTGTCTAGAAAGTTCCATTAGAGAATATGTGAGCATTTGTAGCTGGGAACCCGAGAATCAAGCAGACCAAGCAGGGAAGCCCCACGGTTAAGAACCATGTAGAAACTGCTCTTAGAGCTGGAAAATGTTACAAATGTTAAAGTATCTTATTTCAGGTAAAAGGAAAAATTGGCATTCAAAATCACAATGTAGAAAGTGAGGAACATCTAAGAAATGACACTAACAAAAGGTTTATGGAACACTCATAGTCATGTTGTGCACTAACCAATCCACAAGCTTTTAGACTGCAGAAACTGATGAGCAATTCCAACCTCAAAATCACAATAAGGGGACAAACACAATTCAAAAATGAGCAATGTATGCTTAGTTGAATGTATTACCAGAATGAGAATTTCTTGAGCAATCCTCGGCCTTAAGCTGTATTTCGCGGACTAACTTAGTGCCACGGTCAGAGATCATTAAAGTGCATCTCTCAGGAACAAAAGAAAGTTCAAAATCATCTGAAAATGAGGCATTTAATCCAGGTCCATCAGCACGGCCTGGTATTAGTGAATAACCTCCTGCTATTGTAGTAACACCTGATATCATCATTGATTAAGGAGTTTCATTCAGAATCCAACATGATGATAATAATAAAACAAATATTACTGAAGCAGCTTAACTTATAGTTACCGTGTAATATCACCACCATTTGACAGTTACGTAAGTAAACAAGCAAAATAATACACAATTGATCACCTTCCCTGAGGAAAACTCTCTCTGTACTATAACTCCCCCTTAATAGAAAAAGATTGTTGAAGAAGAGAAACACCAGAGAGTCATAGTAAGAAGTTGCTAAATAGGACGCTTAAAGGCATGCTTATAAACCATAGTGTACAGCATATTTTCAACCAACATGAGAAGCATAAATTGGGGTTGATTACACATTACACCACTGGCAGCTAACATGGATTAAAATTATAGTCAACAACTAGTGGCCGCATGCCCAACTTCTTTGTCCAAACAGTTATATTTACCCAGCACCCAGTTGCTGTCCTGGGGGGCATCATCTCTTGTCGCTTGAAATCAGCAATTCCAAGTGTATGCCTAGAAAGCTGTGTTAGAGGGCGAATAGCCTGCTTTCCAAGTAGTCTTCGAACAAGAAAGTCTGCATTTCCTCTTACTCATCCATGAAGTTTGCTGTTCCCTTTCCGAAGCAGTACTATTCTTGACCTTCAACAAGCATGAACCAACACCATCTGACAGCCACACCAATTTCTAAAGACATACAGAAAATGTTCTAATGCTGTTTTTATCAACATCATCTTTTTTCATAAGCCTAGCATATGGGTTCCCCTCAAGTCTCTCCACCTTATCCTGTCACTTGTTACCCAAAATACGAAGATCCTATTTAGTATGACATAAAATGTTTCCTAGCAGAAATGTTGCCATTGATGAAATCACTGTCTTATGTTGGGTTGAAGAACTCATTGAAGATGTTATCGCCATGTAAAAAAACTTACACTGACCAGGAATGGATAGCTTAGTGATAGAGACCTCCACATCCAACCATAAGGTTGGCAACCTTATAGCTCATTTGACTTAGCTGAATTAAAGTAGCTTTTAAGCCTCAAGTGCTGAAAAATACTTTTTAAGTGATGGTATTGGTTCTATAAACAAGCAGTTGCATGTTGGGATAGAAGTGCTGAAACTGAAAATAAGTTATTAATGTGTTTAGTAAAATATCCTTAAATTTGTTAACACTATAAAATAGTGATTACTATAAGATTTTTAATTCTAAATACGAAATAATTTATGTTCCAATGCACTTTCAATCATAAGATAATTTTTAATAAATATGAGTTATTTATTTGAAGTGGTTGAATTAGAAAGATATTTGTTCTTAAATTTCGGTAATATTTGATATTGCTATCGACTTGGATCTAAGTTGTCCCATGCATAGAAATAGCAAAGCAGGAATTTTTTAATGCCAACATAGCTACCCAAATTGCAAAAAGAAATAATTTCAGGAATCCCTTGTGCTGATGAATATACTGTTACATTTCTCAAAAAAAAAAATCAAGAATCAGATAGTTTGTCGTTTTGGGGGTATTACTTAATATAAAAAATTGAGTTTTCTAGTACATTTTATTTAGTTTTAAGATATTAGATCAGAGAGCATATGAGATTGATGATAAGGCGTAGCTATACAAGCATGAATTCCTAGTTCACTTACATATGTACATATTTGCTTATGCATGTAATGACCATTCTAGGAGACAATTGATATCAAATTTGTTTACATAAAAAAGGTGCACCTAAAATATATTACTAAATTGATTCGAATACAAAGACTAAAAAATATTCATATACTTAAAAGTATTACAAATTTCATTAGCAATCATATTATAAAAAACCATTCAATAGTTATCACTTTTTTCTTCCACATTTATATAGTTAGCTCTCGAAGATTTACCAACATCAAGAACATATCTCTCATTCTTAGCTATTCAGAATGTATCATCCACATTGCATTTCTTTCTAATATAATTGTGAATGACCATAGTAGCAAGTACAATGTTCCTTTGAGTGCCAATGTAATAATAATGCATGTGCCGCAAGATAGACCGTTTTGCTTTTCGAATCACAAATGTCAGCTCTACAATATTTCTACAAGAAGAATACAAATAGTTAATTTTTTCTTCACGTACTCTTGGTGTTCATAATTATTGTGTCGCACCGCGACAAAACTTTTCTAGGTTGTATCTCATCTTATCTCCTTTATATAGAGCTATATATCCATCCCTTCATATCCGACATCAACTTGATAGTACTTGTTTCTTAATTGATGTGAAAAGTTGAGCTCTAGTCTATGAACGGCCTCACCAAATATACTAAAATCATGAGTTGTTCCTCCCCACCCAACAAACATAAAGCACATATTAAAGTCTACAACAACAAAAATATTATAAGTTGGATAGCATCTGTGTCCAATCTATGATATCTCTTAACCTTGTAGTAATTTAGTTTTCATATGTGCGCCATCAAATTCTACCCTGCAATCCTGTAAACATATACAAATTTAACTTAAGTATGTAGAAGTGAATGATAAAATTGTAAAAACATAATAAAGTATGTTTAATTCAAAATCGTTGCTTATTTTAAAGAAAGTGGGATGTAATTACATGGCTTGTGATCTCCACAATCATTATAATTTATGTGTATTCTAATAATATCTCTTGCAAGATTGCCAATGACCTTTAAAAAACTATGAAAGCGTCTAGGAATCATCTCACCTGAGGTATGTCATCCTATTCTAAACTTGTCACCCCTTTCTCAACGGCTTAAAAAGAGTTCATTCGGGTTTCATATAATCCGAATGGTAAAAGGGGATTATATGAAAGCCAAATGAATTCTTTTTAAGCAGCTGGCGAAAAAGAGACAAGTTTAGGATGGGATGACATCAACAGAGAAACAATTCATAAACCATTCATAGACACTTTCATAATGTTTTAAAAGTCGTTACTAAGCTTGCAAGAGATATTATTAGAACATATATATTATAATGATGTATAGGAGATCACAAGTCATGTAACCGACGATATCTCCATTTCTATAAAGTAAATAATATTTTTTAAATAACTATACTTTATTATGTTTTCATAATTTTCACACTACTCTAAACTTAAGCTAAATTTGTACATATAAATTTATAGGATTATAATGGAGTACTTGATTGCACACATGTGAAAGCTAGAATAACTTAAGATCGAGAAATGCAATATATTGGACGTAAAGGCTACCTAACTCAAAGTATTCTTCTTGTTGTTATAGACTTTAATATGTGCTTTATATTTGTGTGGTCTGGGTAAGAGTAGCTCACAATAGTCGCATATTTGGTGAGGCCCTTCATAGACCAGAGCTCAACTTTTTATATTCATTTGGGAACAAATATTATCTAGTTGATGCAGAATATCCGCACATGAGCGGATATATGACTCCATACAAAGGAGATAAGATACCACCTAGCAGAATTTTGATATGTTGCCACACAACAATTGCGAACACCAATAGAATGTAAAAAGAATTTAATTATTTTCATTCTTCCTGTAGAAATATTGTAAAAATATTTTAGAGCAGACACTTGGGTTCGGAAAGCAAGATAGTCTATCTTAGGACACACGCTTTACTATCACATTGACACTCAAAACATTCAAAGGGATATCAGACTTGCTACTATGAATATTCACAATTATACGAGAAAGAAATATGATGTGAATATGCATTTCGAGCAGCTGAGGATGAAAGATATATTTGCGATGTTGGTACATCTTCAGTAACTAAGAATATAAATGTGAAAAATTTGGAAGAACAAAGCGATAACTGTTGGATGACTTTTCATGATATGATTATTAATAAAATTTGCAATTCTTGATGATTGTAATCATATGAATATTTTTCGCTCTTTGTATTCGAATCAATTTAGAAATATAGGTGCACCTTTTACGAAAACAAATTTGATATTCAAATATCTTAAGGTATCTGAATAGTCTCCCCAAAATGATCACTATCACCCCATTAGCATTACAAGCACAAGCAAATATGTAATTGAACTAGACACTCATTTATAAAATTAACTTCAGTACTTAAAAAGTATTTTTTGGCTTGCTGCTTAAAATCTACATAAATTCAGCTAAGCCAAACGGGATATAAATGTGTCGAAGTTATTTTCACTGTTTGTTACAGAGAAGCATCAGTAAACACCAGTCTAATGGCTCCCCACCCTCAACCCCCATCATTATCATAGTCTTACAACTTTTTATCCTAACCAAACACCAGATATGAATCTCTAGTATAACATTCTTTCAACGAAAACACTTTAAGCCAGATCAAACATGACTAGTAAGACTAGACAAAATACCCCAAATAAGAAATTATCACGAGTATATCTAGATACCTGATTTGTTTATCTTTCTAATTGCATGTTTGTTCCTAATATCAGCAACATAAATATTCCCTTTTGAATCAACAACAATACTTTTCGGTTTGTTGAACTTAGCCTTATCCAGAGAACCATCCACATAGCCCGCAGTCTCAGTACCAGTTAACTTCGAAATAGAAAATTCTGCAAAATTCTCAACATTTTCTTTAAAGTTGTTAAGAGAAATGGTCTAGTGGTCAGTGCAAAGAAGATCAAACTCTTTCAGACTTTCATTAGATTCTTAGGTCATGACCTATACCAAGGTTCTTACAAACCAATTTGCAGAGCCATAGAGTTCTCTTCTAAATTTCTTAATGAGATCACTGATAAGACCCAACTTCGAAGATTTCTAGGAAGTCTAAACTATGTAGCTGATTTTATCCCAAACATTAGACAGGTCTGTGAACCCTTATATAATAGACTTAGGAAAAACCCTATTCCTTGGAGCTCTGAACAAACTAGATCAGTCATCCAAATAAAAGGTTTAGTACAAAACCTTCCATGCTTAGGAATCCCAAATCCAAAAGTCTTTATGATTGTAGAAACAGATGCTTCAGATATAAGTTATGGTGGAATCCTTAAACAGAGGATATCCATAGAAGCCCAAGAGCAACTTGTCCGTTTTACATCAGGAATCTGGAATTCCGCTCAGAAAAACTATTCTACTGTTAAAAAGAAGTCTTGTCTATAGTACTATGTATGCTTAAAATGTGAATCTATGTTCTCAGAGAAGACAAGGACATCATCTATATAAATAATAGACATGTAACGGAGTTCATGACATTCTGAAACTCAGAAGGGGCGTTCTTTAGCCAAATGGCATAACGTTCCATTCATACTGAAGGGAACATTGAAAGCAATTTTGTATCTATCTTTCTTGGCTACTTGAATTTTTCAGAAACCAGATTTCATATCGAACTTGCTATAAACATTAGCTTTGTAAGTTCTTTTTAAGAGATCCCTTTCATTAGGAATGAGATATCTAATCCATTTAAGGACAGTATTTAAAGGCTTATAGTTTATAACTAACCGTGGTGCTCCTCTTTCCTTCACTGCACTATTATTAAGTATTAACATAAAAGGCAGAACAACTCCAAGGGGATTTAGAGAGACGAATGATGTTGTTCTTAAGAAGATTTAAAATCTCAGTTTTACAAGTTTCCATCATTTCTTGATCCATTTGAATAGGTCTTGCTTTGGTTGAGATGACATGTTCATTGAATCCTTCAATGTATGGAAGTTTAATCAAATGCTTTTTTCTTTCCCAAAAAGCGTTAGAAAAATCAGAGCATATTTCCTTTTCAAAAAGGCTTTGAAGATTGGCTATTTTAGTAACTATCTCGGGGGTTTTAAAATCTGCTCGATTTTCTTAACTTTTATTTCATCTTTT